GGCAAGAATAAGTTGTCAAATAGCACTCCTTTTTGGGACTAGATGCATCAACCCTACTTTTCATGTTCTTTATGGCCCAATGTATGGGTCCATCATACAAACAACCTCTCCCCTAACTAGAGGGGCAAAGCAGGTTGATAGAATGATAATAACACAATTAAGGTCAAATCACACCAGGTTGATAGAATGATTATACACAATTAAGGTCAAATTCAATTAATTATATGTAATTGCTTTCTTAATACAGTGTTTTTTCTCTATTTTCCTGACCTGGGACACTTCAACAATAGAATTTAAAATATATATAAAAAAAAGGAAGAAGGTGATTTGTACCTGTAACTCTGAGGCCATACATTGCTGTATGAATTAGGTTTACTCTGCTGCTGATCGTTCTCGTTCTCATTCTCATTGGAGCAATTGGAGAAGTCAGATCCGTTTCTATCGCCAACTCCATATTCGCCTCTCTCGTCTTCCTCCTCATCGCTTTCGATGTACAAACTCCGCTCAGACATTGAATTCTCCATATTCCAGAGCTATTATATGTTCAGAACCTCAGAATCCAATACTTCTGAAACAAAAAATAATAACAATCATAAGATTCAACATTCAGTTAGATTCCAAATCTTCGCAAATCAAATCCCTTTTGAAAATTCGAATCTAGGTTCGAATCCCGCGCTCAATAAATCTACAGACAGAAAAAGCCTTCGACATTCGCGTTCCCCCAAACACACGACGGGCATGAAAAAAAATCAAAATTGGAAAGAAAAACTCGAAATTAAAGATGAAAATCACTGGTAATCATACATGAACTGTGATATAAATATTTCAATTCTCTGAGTTGATTTCCAAAAGAGAAAGAAAAAGGACGAGTTGAGAAGTTGAGATGGAGGGTATAAATAGATACCCAATTCAAATGTAAGTGGAAAAAGGAAAGAGAGGAGATTTGGGAATTGTACTACTGTATTTAAGTATTTATAGTAATAAGATTAGAGTCAAAGTTTTAATGGATCAATAAACAAAGATTAGCCCATTCATTCACTCAGAGAGTGAGAGAGAGAGATTAACTGTCGGTAAATAATCATTACCGTTTTTCGTTTGAAAAAAAAACACATATCAATACTTACATGTTTTCAAAACTTATTTCTAAAGTTCACGTGGTTTCAAATTAAAATGTTAGACTCATACTTTCTCTTATCATTTTTCGGTCATTTTTTCCGACAAAAAAGAAGTTATTTGTGCATATTTTTTAAACCATATGGGGCACTGGTTCTCATTTTTTATTTATTTTTTGTTTTTTTTTTCTATTTTTTTTCCTTTTTTGTTTTTTATTAATCACGGTTTTTTGAATTTCTTTTTTAAATTGATATAATAATGTTCTTAAAGTTTAAAATTATTTTTGAGTGAAATAATAATTAACATATTACATTGTGCGAAACACCTTGTGGAGTCATAGATTCCACCCTTACTAAAACAATAATTCTATATTTTTTCTGTTCATAAAAGATAGTCACAATTTGAATTTTTAGTCAAACTAAGGTATCCTTGTACCGTAAAATATGAAAAAGTATATTGAGTTATAATGTAAATTTAATAAAATTTAGTTTTTCAAAAAACGTGTAAAATCGCATCTCTTTTAAATTAATTTTATTTAAAAATCAGTTTAAAAATAAAAGGTACAACTTACATATTTAAAAGAAATATTAAAAATTTTACAAAATAATTAAATGTGATATGTATATTTTACTATATTAAATAATCAATTAAAACATATATGTAAATAACAATTTTTAGAAGTTTCAAATAGTAAATGAGACGATGATTTAGAAATGAATGAATTATGTATTTATTGAGTTTGACGGATCTTGATGCTTATGAAATTTCTTAAGGCCTCGTTTGGTACATGGAATTCAAACTATGGAATTGGAATTGAGGACTTCAATTCCAATTCTGGTATTTGGTAGCACAAAAATTATGTGGATTTGGAATTGCTAGTGCAAAAAATGAATTGAAATTAACAGAATTTAATTTTATGGAATTGAATCAATGGAATTTCAATTCCAATTCCACCAATTCCTTATACCAAACAGACCCTAAGAGTCCGTTTGGTTTACGGAATTGACAGAATTGGAATTGAATTAGAATTGAGATTTTCATGGGATTCAATTCCATAGAATTGAATTTTTCCAATTCCAATTCATTTTTTGCACTATCAATTCCAAATCCACAAAAATTTTGTGCAACCAAATACCAGAATTGGAATTGAAGTCCCCAATTCCAATTCCATAGTTTGAATTCCATGTACCAAACAGGGCCTAGAAATTTTATGATTAAAATTTGTTATACCTTTTTGTACGTAGGTGGTTAAATGTGTGAAATAAAATTAAAATTAAATATATCATGAAACAAATTTTTATAGAATGCAAACAAAACGTACAATATGGCACTCCAAATCTATGATATAAAATTAAATCAAAGTACTAATTTTTTAAATGCTTACACATGTTTTAATAGATTGAGAATATACAAATAAATATTACATTGTAATAAAATTATTACGGAATGGTATAAAATATACTTTTCACTAATTGAATAATGATTTTTTATTTATGTTTCATTCTAATATTTTTAAAGTGTATTCATAAATTTATTTTGATAAATATTTTTAAACTTATAAGGCTACTAAAACAAAACAAACTAGTACTCCCTCCGTCTCAAAAAGATTAGTACATATTGACTTTTTGGGAAATTAAGGGAGAGATATTTTGATGTTGACTTTCCAAAAATACCCTTGATGTGATGAGTAAAGTATGATGTGATGGGTAGATTATTAGGAAAAAGGTATGATGTGATAGGTAGAATATAAAAAAGTAAGGGGTAAAATGGTTTTTTAATAGAAATGTAATGGATTTTATGAGACACAGTTTTTTCGAAACGTGTCAGACTTTTTAGGACGGATGAAATACTTCGTATAAGTTAACTTCCACGTAGTTTATTATTAAGACCCATATTACGTAGGGCTATTTTACTATTTTAGTACTACATCAGTTATTCAACCACACATTTTTTTATGTATCCATCAATTTTTTTACACTTCGAAATCTATAGTAAAAGACGGTGTTGGTGTGCACGTTTGAGCATAACTTGGTGTGCCCAAGTATTTTTTACCTACTTTGTCCCAAAACGATTACGAAAATTTGACGTCAGGTAAACTGTGTAATTAACAATTTGATCACAAATTTAATATACTTTTAAATAATTAAATATTTCAAAATTTTGGTATATCAAAATTATACTTTAACCACTTTATTTAATTTATAGGTATGACTAAATATATTTTTTTAATAATTTATGATCAAAATATTGTGTCATTGATTAAAAAAACCAAGTTGCGGGATTTTTTTCTTCCTCCGACAAACATAATGGTATTCGGTATGAAATAGGAATAGAAGTTTTTCTTCGTGTTTTATGGATGGAGACAAAGAATGGGGGGGCCCATATGTCCTCAATCATTGAGAAAGATGACGTGTGCAACGTGCAAGGGCTAGAAGGGATAAGCATAGTTGTTTTTTTCGCCGCGTATACTTATTCTTATCCCAAAAAGAATTTCTTATTTTGATTAACGTGTGAAATCTCGTAGATTTTAAATTGATTTTTTTTGCAAATTAGTAAGGAAATAACACATAAAAAATTATATTTAAAAACTACATTTAAAACCCTACAAAATAAAAGGTGACAAGAATATTTTATTATATCAAATGACCAATGAAAACACGCAAGCAAATACTCCCTCCGTCCCCCTATATTTTTCCACTTTCATTTTTACACACCATCCAATGCACTTCTTTAATCCATTTTATCTTGTAATTTGTATATTAAAAAATTATAAAAATTATATATTAATAATCTATATGTTAGAGCATCTCCAATGTATAGTGTAAAAATTGGTAGTGTAAATTACATTTTACACTATCAACATTATTTTACACTTCCACTTTTTAATACCTACTCCAACCATGTTTTGTATAATATACTTCATACTTTATATTTATTCATGTCCCTATCTACAACCAACTTGTATATATACACTTTGCCAATTGTATTTTACCTTATATTGTATTTTAGCATTTGTTTTACCCTCTCCCTTGGAGTGTCAAAAAGTTAAACACAAAGTGCAAATTGTGTAAATTTTAGCATATAGCCTCTACACTGGAGATGCTCTTAAGACAAATCAAACAAAATCACACATGACTATATTTAGGCTTACACATTGAGAGAATTTGATGAGTTAAAGTGCTTAGATGAACAATTCCAAAAGTCAAATGTGGACAAATACAGGGGGGCGGAAGGAGTAAGAGTTATTGAGAGACCGTAATAGTAAACAGGAAAGACTTTTTGGGACGGAGGGAGTATTCAAATTAATTTTTGTATACTCTCTCCATCCGGAAAAAAGTTTGCATTTCTCCTTTTTCTGTAGAAATAAAGTTTACATTTCTAATTTTAATCCACACTCTTTCAAAAATATCCTTCTCTACCTTTCTTTCTTTCTCTTCTCTTTTCCTTCCCTTTTCCTTATTTTTTTTCCCACCCTTCCTTTCTATTCTCCACCGCCCCTTTCTCTTCTTATCTTCATTCTTTCTCTTATCCTCACTCTTTCTCTCTCTTGACTTTTTTTTTCTTTTCTCCTTTCTCTTTGTGTAGATCTGACTTTTCTTCTTCCTCATCCTACTTCTCCATCTTTCTTTTAGATCTAAATAGATTTGCAATCACAGAGATGGGAGATGGCGGCGAAGGTGCTAGCAGTGATGGGGGGCCGGTGGTGATAGAGTGCTGGCGAAGATGGTGTAATTGACAGTGGTGGTATGACTGGTGGTTGTCATAGGGGATGGAGGCGATGGGGGCAAGCGCCTGGCGGTGACGAAGGGAGTGCTGGCAGAAATGGTGGGGTTGGCAGTGATTTTGAGGCTGATGATGTGGTGGGGGGTGGCCGCGAAGGAAGGCTGGCGGAGACGGGGTGCTGACGGGGGTTAGCGGCAACGAGGGTTGCAGAAATTGGCGGTGTGGTGAAGCTAGAAGTGGGAAGGATATTTTGGACTTATTCACTCCAATGTTAACCATCAATAAAAATGACTAAAAGTTAAAATGTAAACTTTTTTTCCGGACGGATGGAGTATTAAATAGTCTTTTAGTTCATTATTTTTTTTTCTTACTTTCCTTTTTTGAGCTCGCAAACTTTTTTCTCAATTCTTGGCAATTTTTTAAATAGTGTGCCATTATATTATATTACCTCCGTCTCTGAGTATTTGTCTAGTTTTAACTTTTTTTAATTTCGTCAATTATTTTCAACATTTGACATGTTATTAAATAAAATATATATTGTATTTGAATTAGATAAAATAATATTTTAAAAATATTTGATATAATAAATCTAATAAAATTATTTTTGTACCAATATCTAATATCATTTTTATTTAAATTAAGGTCAAAGTTTACCAATTTTGACCAAAAAAAGTTAAGCATATATACGGTCCATCTTTCTTCTTCACATACAACTCCCGTCCACAGGAGGAGTTGCCGGAGACATCGCCGGAGTCTGCATTAATTCAATTGAGATTTCTTTGCCAAGTCAATCGAGGTGAGTGATTTATCTCTCGTTAGGATCGATTCATAGATTAGGATTCATTGATATATTTTTGTGCAATTGACGTCGAATTTGTGTTTATGAATGTTGAATTGTTTGGGTTGGACTCTGGTGGGACTTAAATGGATTTGGGAAACTCTGGATTTGTGTTCTACTCATTCTCGGTTGTGCTGTTCTGCTCGGGGTTTCTGTTTTTCTTTTCTGCTCTGTTCCTGTTCTGCTCGATTTGCCCTCTTCTTCAGGGGTCCGCCCCCTGACTTAGAGCTAGAAAATCGGTCGGTCAGGTCGGGTTCAATTTCGATTACTTCGAGTTCTTGTTATTTCGAGTTCGAGTCAATTTTGATTCAGGTTGAGAACTGTATGTTCATGACCCAGTGTCTTCAGGTTTGGGTCGACCCAATGTGTTATGAATTTGGTTTTTTAAATTTTTAAATTCCATTTAACACTTACATTTTGTATTAAATAAATTTAAAATATAAAAAAATATGCATTAAATTTATTAATGCATTTCTGTCGCTGATCTGCGACGGGCATGTCCGTTGCTAATTTCTTCGCTGATTTTGTTTGATAAAAAATGAAAATCTCGTTGCAGGTCCGTCACAGATCTGCCACAGATTGTGAATTCCGTCGCAAATATTAAATCTGTCACAACTTTTCTGCGACGGAAGAAATTCGTTGCAGATCCGTTGCAGAATAGAAATCTGCCACGGAATTTCAAATTCTGCCACGAAATTTTTCCGTTGCAGATTAGAAGTTTTCTTGTGATCCATTAAAAAATCATATCGAGACATTTACATTAATCTAAAGGAAATCAGGATGTGTTCGCTCCTAACAAAGCATAGTGCCTCCTCGACTTGTCTGTCAATCCGTCATTGCCTCAATATCGTCATTGCCCACTGGTTGTTAGAGGTTGTTCGAGCCCGTGCACACACTCTCGAAGGGGAGATGGCCTCCCCTTTCCGTACCTTAGCATTATAGGTAGTCCAAAAATATTTGAATAATTTTATACTTTAATTTTATATAAATATTTAAATAAATTTATTTAGAAAAAAATCTTTTTTCCCATTAAAAACAATTTTAACAGAAGAAAATTTTTTTAAATAAATTAATTTTAAAAAACTTACTCTACATAAAATAACAAGGGGCCATGCTACACTTACACCACAAATTGTACCCCATTTGTACACCGCAGGTATACACAAACATTTTGATGGTTTACACCGACACAAGTGTTGGTGCGTTAACAAAACTTTACACGGATACAAAGTGTTTGTGAATTAACAAAAAATAGTTTTATACCAACACAAAGTGTTGGTGCAAACCTGCGGGGTACAAAGTGGGGTACAAAAACATGGGGTACAAGTAGCTTTATCCAATAACAAGTGACCAACACTAAGGTATTTAAATAAATTTATTTAAAAAAATACTTTTTTTCCTTTTAAAATCAACTTTAACAGAAGGAAAAGTTTTTAAATAAATTAATTTTTTAAAAAAATTACTCTATACTCCCTCCGTCCTCCTAAGATGTTCTCATTTTGACTTTTGGTGGTTTTTAAGGAGAGTTGAAAAAAGGTGAAAGTTTACCATAATACCCTTAATGAAATATGAGTGGAGTGTATTAAATGAGGTGGGTGGGGTGTAATAAATAAAGTAAGTAGGTGTAGTTATGGTATTTTAATTGTTAAAAAATGAAATGGGAAGATCTATTGTGGACAAAGAAAAAGGGCTATTGAGAAGATCTATGGGGGACGGAGGGAGTATAAAATAAGAAGTGGGTAGTGACCAAAACTAAGGTGTACACTCCGGCCCATTAAGGCCCACCCACCCTCAAGTCTCAACCCAATAGTTTCATAAAATTTGGAAAATAAGAAAAATGGCCCCTAAATAAGGAAAAAGCCCAAAAATCTATCATCAAAATATAAGCACAAAACCCTGCCTGAATCTTGTGAACCTCTGTGAAGAAGATGGAGTTTGAGAAGAGGAAAGCTTCGACTTTAGCGGCGATGAACTCGCCGGAGCCGGACAAATCTCCGAAAGGAAACGTAGACGCACCCATCGTTCCTCTACTCGCCGCCATCAACTCTCACCCTTTGTATTTCACCACCAGCTCTTGCTCTGGCCGCATCTCCGTCTTCGCTCACCCCACCGCCTCTTCTTCCACCAGCCCCGTGAAATCCAAAGGCGGGAAGTGGGTCTTCATCTCCCACGACCCAGTTGATCCCGATTCAGTCTCCCGACTTCTGTTGGGGGGCGAGTTGGCTCAGTCCTATAGAGGCCACAGTTTTGTGTTCCGGTTCGAGCCTCTGATCATTGCAATAGAGTGTATGGATGTTCAGGCAGCTCAGTGGTTGGTGGCATTGGCTATTTCTTGTGGATTTAGGGAGAGTGGGATCACCAGTGCTACTAACAAGCGAGTGATCATTGCTATCAGGTGCTCGATCCGATTAGAGGTGCCTTTGGGCTGTAGCGAGAGGATAATGGTGTCACCGGAATACTTGAAGTACATTGCTGAACTTGCAAATGAGAAGATGGATGCTAATAGGAAGAGAACTGATGGGTTTCTTGATGCCTTGTTAAAAGAAGGATCTTTTGGGCCTCATAGTTGCAACGGAAAGCTTTTGTGCAGTTCTGAAGTGGATTCTGATGAAGCTTCAGCTTGTCTTGATGGACCCGAGTCGGAATTCGTGAGAAACTCTTCCAAAGGCTGTATGAATAGCAGTGAGGACGATGAAAGCAAACGTTTCGACAGTACAAAATGTGGTAATTGCAATTCAGTGGATTTACCCGATTTTATCTTTCTATGGATTTACACTGCCTTGTGCTTTGACTGTTTATCTTAGGTGTTTGAGTAGAGTGTTATGGACTATTAGCTGCTCACTTATTTATCATGTTAGAAAAAATAGCTATCTTATTCTGGACAATTCCAATAAGGGCTTGATTGGTTTGGAGAATTTAGATGGGAGGATTGATTTTAGTTTTATTGATTTTATCTATATTTTTTAAGTCTTGTAGTAGAAGATGGCTGTATCTATAATTAAAACTGTACAATATAATCTTTCATGTTCACTTTCTTTTAAACAATCTAATGTAAGAATAACTAATATCACTCCTCCCCTTCACTGGCCTTAATAATTCTTCAACCAAACAGGGGTTGGCATTCACACACGTGGAGACAAAAAATGTGGTTGTGCTAGTTGTATTTCATTTCCTGCATATTTCATGGATTTAGAAAGCACAATCTCTAGATATTAGATAAGATAATTTAAATGGACTGTTAATGTTGAGGAAATAAAATGAAGAGGAAAATAGAGAATTTCCTAAGAAAAGAAAATGTGGGTGAATGTGGGTGGAAGCAAAACATTGGTACAAACTAAGCTTATACAATGTTGATTTTTGTTCAAGGTTCAAACTCATTTTATTTATTCATCTTTACTATATTAAGTAGAAGTTTAGTATATTTTATACTCCCTCCGTCCCTAAATAAAGTTCCTCTATCGTTTTTTCTTTGTCCCTAAATAAACTTCTCTTTTCCCTTAAAAAATCCCTTTTACCCCTTACTTTTTCATACCCTACCTATCGCATCATACCTTTTTACTAATAATCTATCTATCACATCTTACTTTTACACATCACATCAAGGGTATTTTTGGAAAGTCAACACAAAAATATCCCTCCCTTAAATCCTCAAAAAGTCAAAAATGGAACTTTATTTAGGGACGGAGGGAGTATCATATTACATTCTCTTTTGCAATTTCCAAGATAAAACCAAGCAAAAAAAAGCCTTAGCATTTTTTCCATTCCCTTGGAACTTCCGGGATTCTAACATACCCTAACAGCTTAATTATGTAAAAAAAGCAACTTTACGGACTTTCTTCTACCTAGAAGGCTAAAAGTCTACAAAAATATTTATACTTGTAATGATGTGAGAGCATTGTAGTAGTCTAACTACTATGTCTAATTGCAGGAGGCATTCCCTTAAATGTGACAGCCAGTCTGAATCTTTAAATCATTGACAGGATCATCAACTGTTTCCAGTTTCAACCTGTCTAGTAGTCAGATGTTAACCATAGGAGAGTCCGTTGAAAGAATTTATCTCTGGGGTCACTCTGCCTCTGCAATTGATGCAATTGAGAAGAAAGTTCTAATTTTTGGTGGGTTTGGAGGTCCAGGCAGACACACCCGTAGAAATGATCTGTTGATTCTTGACCTACAATTTGGTAAATTAGAAGTTTTCGACGTTCAGGGAATGCCATCATCACGTGTGGGCCATACATCTTCAATGGTAGAAAAGCATATGTATGTAATCGGTGGAAGAGCTGATCCGCTAAATGTTCTGAATGATGTGTGGGCTTTTAGTTTGGTCAAAAAAGAATGGAGGCTCTTGCAATGTTCTGGCTCTTTATTCCCGTCAAGGTGATTTATTAATCATTTTCCAATAGTGCTCTACTTAATGGATTGTAGGCCTACATTAATTTTTATTTCTGATAATTTTTTTTTAATTTTCATTTTTTATTATTATTCATTATTATTATTACTCTTTCTGTCCCAAATTAAGTTTCCTAAACTTCTTTCACTTTCTTTTGCTATTTTTGTTACGAGTAAATTCCATAAAAGGTTCCCAGTTATAGGTCATTTTACATATTTAGTCCCTACATATCAAATATTACTAATTTAGTTCCCAATTATTATATTCATTTCCACAAATGGTCCTTCGTTAACATTTCCGTTAAGAACGTGGATAAAATTGTAAATTCACACTCCTCTCTCTCATCTCGTACTCTTTTCCAAATTCGTTTCTGAGTTTGAAGCTCTAAACCCAAAACTGAAATGATCATTTCTCTCTCAATTATTAGTCTTCCTGATGGAACCTAAAATCAAAACCAATAAGCTTTATGGATGAGTTTTATCAGTTGGTCTCAAGAAATTGCAAAGAAAATAAACATTAAAACTCATCCATGAAGGTTACTGGTTTCGAATTTGGGTTCCATCATTTAGACAAACAATTGAGAGAAGAGTGGTGATTTCGGTTTTGGGTTCAAAGCTTCAAACTCAGCGACGGGTTTGAGAAAGGAGTGCGAGGGGAGGGAGGAAGCTTAATTGAGGAGGGAAAGGAGTGTGAATTTACAATTTTATCCATGTTCTTAACGGAAATGTTAACAAAGGACCATTCGTGAAAATGAATATAATAATTGAGGACTAAATTAGTAATATTTGATATGTATGGACTAGATATGTAAAACAACCTATAACTGGGGACTTTTTATGGAATTTACTCTTTTGTTACTCATTGGATAAAATAATGTAGTCTTGTCACCTCTTGTTTCGTAGAACTTTTGATGTAGTTTTAAATTTGTAAATTTTATTTTTTAATTCTACCCCAGTCTCAAATAAATTGTATTTTAAAAAACTCAAGTCAAACATAATAAACCGAAAAAGGCAATTTAAATTGGGACGAATGGAGTATTATTTGTTATTATTATGATGGTGATTATTATTATTATTATTACTATCGGACCCTATCTGTCCAATAAGAAAGTTTTGCAGAAAATGTTTACGGATTTGTATGTGTTTGTACATGGAAAAATATTCTTAAAACTAATTTATTGTGTTTGGCACCACAAGGAAAATATTCTTTTTTAAATTTTTACTGTTCAAACTCTTATGGAAAAGAACTTTGTGTTTTGACGGCAAGACTGGGTATGAAGAAGAAGATGATGAATGTTGGCATATTATGTGAAATTGTGAACTCATTAGGAAGAGATTCAAATTGTATACAAAATTTATATACGATTTCAGACAAAAACTATTTTCTCCATCTGTTGTTTTTAAACTTCTAAAGTTTATTAATATTTTCTAAAATTTAAACACATCATCATTCAGGCATCGGCATGCAGCAGCAGCAGTAGGCTCAAAAATTTATATATTCGGGGGAATCCACAATGATGCTGTAATATTGTCATCACTGCATGTTCTTGACACGGAAGCATTGACATGGAACGAACTACAAGTCAGAGGAGAACTGCCATGTCCATGTCACTCCCATTCTATGGTAGCACACGGGACCCTATTATATACTTTCGGGGGATATGATGGGGAGAGACCTCTAGGAGACCTTTTTAGTTTTGACACAAAAACACTTATCTGGAGGTTCCTTTGATAGGGCCCCTTTGGAGGTTCAGGATCCAAAAGGGTGAGATACAAACAAATATTCCTAAAAGATCCATAATAGCCTCCTACAGGGCAATCAGTTTCAGTCGTGTTCGACAGCAACGAACTATACGCGAGGGTGGTCACCTTTGTATAACAACAGTTAAGGAACCCATTCCTAGAGAACCAAGCTTCGTGACCCAATGTTGTAGGTGATGATCTAGTTATGATTGGTGGTGGGGCCGCGTGTTACGCATTTGGGACTAAGTTCAGCGAACCAGTGAAAATAAGCCTTCTTCCTTTGTTGTCCATGAAGAGTGAAGAGCATAGAGAATCTGCTGAAAGTAGTCAAAAACTTAGTGATGCTTCCTATTGGGTTTTAAGCCTCGAAAAGAAATACGCAAAGTTGGTGAAAGACATATTGAAAAACTTTGGGTGGTTAGATCTTGGGAGAAAAGTTTACTCTCGGGATGATGGAATGCATATATGTTTGCCAGTGACAGAAATGTTTTGCTCAATATTTCCCGTTAAGAAACAAGACTCAACTTGTTATGATTCTTCTAAAACACTCGTTGAGAGAGAAGACCATTCTAAAGATATTTCAACAGCCTTGAAAATTGTGATGGAATGTCATGCAACAAAAATGGAAGATGAAATTCTAAAAGTGAAAAAAGCATCACCCACTCCTTTGGAAGTAATGAAGGAATCAATAGCCTATTTACTCAGCCAAAGAGGATTGCCCTTGCAACTCTTAGAGCAGCTGCCATCAAGGTTTCATTTTAAAGCTTTTTATATATCTTTTAGTCATTGTTTGGTTTGGGAATTCTCGGGGGGTGGGGGGGGTGGGGGGTAAAGGGTTTGGATTGAGGTTCTAATTTGTTTAACCTATATTTGTTAGTGATGTATCAGGAAATAGGTTTCTACTTGGTTAAAGAATTATCTTTCTTAGTTAAATTATTATTCATTCTTTATATATTCTTATTTTTGCTTTTTTTTCCCAACCAAGTATTGTAAACAAAAATTACGAGTATTTAACTGAATATATCTCCTCCTCTTCCGTTGGAAATCCCCCAACCAAACAAGGTCTTAAGCACATCATGACCTATATGGTCTGACCCTTTTTTCTGAATTGCTAGAAGTAAACTGCATTTTTATGACACTTTTGGACCAAGAATGCTGTACCTAATTCAGTGTTACACCAAACTTACACCTTTTTGATGATATGTATATTGAACGGACCTTTTTATTTTAGATGGGAGCGTTTGGGTGATATTGTAGTGCTTCCTATGTCATGCTTCAAGGACCCACTATGGGACTCTGTTGGGGCAGAGCTTTGGAGTTTGGTTGCAAAGTCACTTGGAACTAATCGACTTGCTCGACAAGTAAGATGTACACCTTCTATTCTTAATAATTGCTGTGGATTTTAAGGTGATATTTACAGTACTCGACAAATGTCACTGCCCCATAGATTCAAAGGTATTAAAAGTAACAAACACGAGTGAATACAACAGACAATGACAACAATAGGCCCAATGCCCGTTTGGCAACAATTTTAGCAGTTAGCTTTAGTTTTTTAAAAAGGCTATTTAATGACAACGTTTAACTTTAGCATTTTCAAATTTAATCTGCACCATTAACAAATTATTTCAAAACGCTAAGGCTAATAGAAGAAGATGTTCCCAAACAAGTTCCCATTATATCCCACACATGGGGAATTGGTGATGGGTGTATGTTAACGTTACCGATTTTTCTCTCTTCTTCCTCACAAAATGAAAGGAAAATCACATTTCCAATTTTACTTTACACTTTACTAAACTTTTCTTTTCCTTCCTATTTTCTTTTCTTTATCTTTTGATTTCCTTGAACTAAACACAGTGTTCTAGAATCCATAATAAGAAAGGATATCAACATATATGATATAATTACATCGTATCTCATGCAACAACAACAACCCAATTGGATCCCACGAGAGTAGGGTCTGGAGAGGATGTGTGTACGCAGACCTTGCCCCCACTCGTAAGTAGAGAGGCTGTTTTCAAGAGGCTGTTTACATCGTATTCCATTACCTATCATTTGAAGAACATTTGTTTCACAATAACTCTCATCTTTCCAACTCTGCCATCTCAATAACTCTCACCTTTTTGTTATGGTACAATATTCAATTAGTTTTGAAACTTTCCATTATTGGTTTCTATGTCCAAAACAGAGTGATGACACATTCTGTAGGAAAATGCTAAAGTCACTCCAACTCTCACTCCACCTTTCACCCCAACCTTCTCCCTAACATCCTCATCCATTGAACAGTAACAGGTGTCTATGGGTGTCTGTAGATGTCTCTGAAGTGGGGTGAAATATTAGTGAAATTTTTAGTATCATAATGAAAGATAGTGTTTCATGGTGGAAAGGTTTAATTAAACTTAGTATGACTAAGTTTACAGGGAAGAATATCTCCAAGTGGCACAAGAGACAGTACTCTGGAGATGCTTGTTGGAGATGATGGGTGGGTAAATCACCGCGAGAATGGAATCTTATATTCATTTGATGCTACCAAGTGCATGTTCTCCTGGGGTAATCTCTCCGAAAAGTTGAGAATGGCCCGCCTTGACTGCAAGGACGAAGTTATCGTCGATCTGTTTGCTGGTATTGGATATTTTGTGCTCCCATTCCTCGTCAGGTACTCCCTCGTCTGGTATTGGTATTGGAAATTTTGACACATTTTATTACACTTTGTGTACATTTTGGACTTTCACTCTACATTCACTCTTTTAAATTAAATATGTATATATTCATCAGGGCTAATGCGAAGCTGGTGTATGCCTGTGAATGGAACCCCATGGCTATTGAGGCACTCCGTCACAATATCCAGGAAAATCTTGTGGCCGATCGTTGCGTAGTTCTTGAAGGAGATAACCGCATTACAGCACCAAAAGTGAGCAGTTTAGCTTCTCAAAGTCTCCCCTTCTTTTAGCTCCCTTCCACGATCTTTCTCTATTTATTCCTTTAACTGCATCTTTATGTGTGTGTGTTTGTTGGGCCAATGACAGGGTGTTGCTCATCGTGTTTGCCTCGGGCTCTTGCCAACGAGTGAGGGTAGCTGGGCCACTGCTGTGAGAGCATTAAGGTATTTCATCTTTTTAATGTAGAATTATACTCCCTGTGTCCCAAAATGTTTGCAATATTATGCAAAACGAAGCAAAAGTTTAAGCTTTTTCAATTTGTTTTATGCAAAATGAAGCAAAACCAAAAGTTTAAGCCTTTTCATCTTTTTAGTCTTATTATTATTTAAAATTTTATAAGTGACATGATGTATGTTCTTTAATGAACCCAGAGGCCAGAATTACCTGTACAAATCTTGTTACTTTTCGAAACAATTCTTAAAACCACATTTTCTGAATTGTAGAATATGGTTTTGTAGTTATGGAAAAAACCTGGATCTTACGAACCCAAGACGTGATGAACGAACTATATGTCTCTAGGGTTATGCTACAGTCACACCACGAATGACACCAAGGCTAACACTGTCACGGTCTCTCACACACTATAGAGAGTGATTCTATGTGGGTGTTTGTCTCCGATAATGTAAACCTTGGAGCTAAAACAACATCTTCCACAATTCAACGTCTCTAAACCCTAACAACTCGCAAACATTCTCTATATAGCATTATTCGCGAGATAACTATAGTGATGGTTTCAACATCTTTTTCAAAATGCAGAGAGGAGGGTGGGGTGCTACACATTCACGGGAATGTGAAGGATTTGGAAGAAGCCTCGTGGAAACAACATGTTTTGCAGTCAATCCATGAGATGGCAAGAGCCGAAGGTGCGGGTTTTTCAGTCCTCTATGGGGCCCGCAATGGCTTCGATGAACATTACGATTTTTCTTTCTTCATCAAACCTAATGGATTGCATTGTGATATCTCAGGTCGCGTTTGGGAGATATCGTTAGAACACGTGGAGCGTGTGAAATGGTATGCTCCCCGGATTCGCCATCTCGTTGCTGATGTAAGATGCAGTACGTGAAGTGATGAGGGAGTACTAATTAATATTAGTGAAAAAAACTACGGAGTAAAAGATATGGTATTACATAAAAAACTATTTGGGTCCGTTTGGTACACAGAATTGATAAAATTGTAATTGAATTGGAATTAAAATTTCATGAGATTCAATTCCAATTCATTTTTTTGCACTAACAATTCTAAATCCACATAATTTTTGTGCTACCAAACACGTGAATTGGAATTAAAATCCTCAATTCTAATTCTGTAGTTTGAATTCCGTGTACCAAAGGGAGCCTTTATGTTTGTGTGGATCACTCTATCCCATCTATTCTTTCGCGCCAATTCAATGTCATGCCTTTTTTCTTTCTTAGTTTTTCCATCCCCTTTCAGGTGTCGATCCCTTTCATCCCATTTCTTTTCCTTTTTTATTCCCTCTTACCCAATTTAAACTATCAGCATCATATGCATTTTTAATTCTTTCATAAGATCTCATTCTCACCAAAACTAAAATGTGTATATATATATATATAGGGTCGGTTCTCGTGAGAATGTACCTTGTGGAGAGAAATGAGATTAAAATCTAGCCGTTGGATCTGATGCATTGTGCGGATCAGATTGCATCCTGCGCTCAGATTTTGAGATAGTGCATTTTGGATTTTGGTGCATTTTGACATGATGCATTTTCAAAGCATTTTGGTGCACCTAATTTTGATGACTCTTAGATCTTAGTATCTAAACTATCAGATTTATTCTCATTTCTTTCATAAGATCGCATTTTTCACCAGAATATACATACATACATACATACATACATATATATATATATATATATATATATATATATATATATATATATATACACTTTTCAAACAAAAGATTAAATTATGGCTTAGAAGATGGAGAGTCCATTTGAGTAGGTGAAAAGTGCTCCGAAAATGGAAAAGATCTAAAACCTGCGTATGATGCAAATGATGATGAAGAAGGTAAGCGGGAAGTAAATGGAGAGGCCAAGAACGACGACGGAGACAGCAGTTGCACGGGCGGAAACAGCAGAGTAGACAGCCGTGACGAAGGCGATTACGGCGGCAACCAGAGCGGCGACGAGCAAATATCCGGCGATGTAGCAAACCTTATTCATGGTGCGACTTGAGACTACGAACCAGAGTGCGCCGGAGGCGGCGATGCAAGCGACGGTTGCAGAAAGGGAACACGCGAAGGCGATTGTATCCGCGACGAGAAATGCTTGGATAGCCGCCCCCTCCTTCTTCTCCATTATTCCGGTGAAACCCGCGGCGGCGGTGATGGCCATGAGTGCAATAAGAGCGGATACCACCATCATCGGCGGAACTGCTTCTTTCATCTTCATATCATCATCACCTAACGCCATTTCGATCTCCCCGGCCTGCCCCTACTCACTCCCTCCCTCCCCTTTCCTTTTAGATGAGCGGATAACACCACACACACACACACACACACATACATATATACATACACACACACACACATATACACACACATACATATATACATACATATATACACACACACATGTATGTATATACTCCCTCCGTCCCTAAATAAAGTTCCTCTTTCGTTTTTTCTTTGTTCCTAAATAAACTTCTCTTTTCCCTTAAAAAACCCCCTTTTACCCCTTACTTTTTCATACCATACCTATCACATCATATCTTTTTACTAATAATCTACCTATCACATCTTACTTTTATACATCACATCAATAGTATTTTTAGAAAGTCAACACAAAAATATCCCTCTCTTAAATCCTCAAAAAGTCAAAAATGGAACTTTATTTAGGGGCAGAGGGAATATATAGTTTTTCTTTTGACTTTTTTACGTCTATTTTAATCAAAATTAAGGTAAACTTAAAAATAAAATAAATATTTTAGAAATACCTCCTCCGTCCTACTGTCTTTGTCCACTTATCTTTTGGCACATCATCCAATGCATTTCTTTAATCCATTTTATCTTGTAATTTGTATATTAAAAAATTATAGAAATTATATATTAATAATCTATATGTTAAGACAAATCAAACAAGATCACACATGACTATATTTAGGCTTACACATTAAGAGAATTTGATGAGTCAAAGTACTTAGATGAACAGTTCCAAAAGTCAAAAGTGGACAAAGACAGTGGGACGGAGGGAGTATTAAACATAAAGTTATAATGAACATATATAGCGGGATAAGGAAAAGAGGCAAAAAAAAATTCTCAATTTGACTAAGTCCAAAGTTTATGATTGAAAAAGAAAAAATGTAAAAAATGTGCAGATGAAAATGATGTAGAAGAAAAGTTTGTACTCGTTTCAGTCCATGTAAGTACACTCAAAAGTTAATTTGGTTCCTGTAAATTTGATTTAGTCAATTTATTCATGTAATTAGAAATGTGAATTAAATTAGTTCTTTAGGCAAACTTGTCTTCTAAAAATCAAAGTTAACACGTAATTGACATAACCTAATTTATTCATGTAATTAGAAATGTGAATCAAATTAGTTCTTTAGGCAAACTTATCTTCTAAAATTCAAAGTTAACACGTAATTGACATAACCTAATACAAGGGGTCATTGCTCATGCATCAATTAACATGATAGTTCAGAATTTTAGTAGATAAATTAGGCTTGAATAATTAACTTGATTCACATTTTTTTCATGTATAAAGACTAAATTGACTCAAACAAATTTACAATGACTAAATTGAGTCGCCAATACAAGAGACCAAAGTGATCGTGTATTAGCTTCATAGGAGAGAGAGAAATATTATGAGGGCGTTTGAGATTAATTAACTTGTAGATAAAGTGATTTTTACAAAAGCTGAAAACAAAAGCACCTCATACCTGCTTCTCCGAAACAGTGTTCTATGTACAAAATAGTGTTGATGAAAAGCAGAAGCTGACATGCCAAACAGAGTAAAACCACTTCCACTTAAAGCAGAAACTAAATTGTTAAAAGTAACACACTGTCAAACACCCTCTATGTGACACTTATAGTTTTTCATAGAAGGAAAGAGAAGTTTTTTTTTAGTGAAATTTGCTTAAATTATCACCAAAACTTGATAATTTTCCACAAATTGCACCGAACAAGTTTTTTCCAAAACTAGCATTAAATTATATAATTAATTAATTAATTATAATATACATTATGCTTGTATCTTAATTATTTTGTACTCCGTATGAAATATAGACTAGTTTTTTTCTTGCTTTAGTCGACTCCCTCTTTCCTTTATTCGTCTGCTTATATTTTCTTTTTGATGGACATTATAAAAAGTATTGACATTGTTCATTGATCCCGGATATTGTAAAAATTATGGACATGAGATATTGTAAAAATTATGGACATTATTTACCGATGAGGGACATTAATGGCTAATGTAGTGGATCGATATTTATAATTGCTAGAATGTCTTTTTTTCAACTGACAATTATTCAATGTCTTGACAATGAACATGTAGACATCAATAATGATATTAGATATTATTAGAGTGAAATCACGAAAGTCATTAAATCATGCATTATGGATATTAATGGAGTGGCGATGAGACATTAATATCAATATTTTGTGATCGATGGCCAGCGAAGGACAATAGAACGTGTTGAGACAATAAATATAAAATTATTTAAAGGGCATTTTAACATACTAGAAATAATAATTAATTCTATCTAATAATTAATAATTAATTAGATACTAGTTATGGAAATTAAAACTTGTTGTGCTATATCGGGAAAATCAGTATGTTTTAGTGTTATCTAAGTAAATTTCCCATTTTTTAAGACATCCGGAAGAGAAATAAGTAATCCTTTTTTTGAAACGGAGTGAGTATAAAATTGCAAATATTGCCCTTCATTTCTTGAATCGACGCGCGCTGGGCAAATTGTCGGCATTGACCAGTAAGATGTGTATTCTGAATTACTTAGGGTGTGTTTGGTGAGCAAACAAGATATGCATTTTGATATCTCCAGATATCAAATTTTTTTAGGTGTTTGATGAGGTCAAAAAAGATATCGAATTCGATATCTCCAGATATTATAAATCCTTCAAATGGAGGGTTTCGATATCTCTCAAATTTGGGAGATGTCAATATGGGGGTTTAATATCTCTCTCAACCATTGATCATTTTCTGTCACCGGCTACCATTGTCACCACCAACCACCTTGTTGCCAGTCACCCCCGCTTATCGCTAATTAAATCGTGATTTTAAATCTCTCCAAACAAATTCATTTCAGATTTCAAAACCTATATCATTTCTCTCAGATTTCATAACTCATATCTTATCATTTCTTTAAACTCACCAAACGAACTTTTAGTATTTGTTTATTATAAACACTTTTTAGTTTTTTTTTATTATAAAAAAATTACTCCATATTTGGGAAGATCCATATCCACGGGAACCTAAGACCGTCCATGGTAGAGAATGGAATTATTGTTCTTTAATTCCTTCATAAGTTTTTTTTAAAGCTCTGTTTATACCTTAGGTTGGGAGTGGACTCAAAGGATCTCATTCAATTCAATAGCATATTTAGGCGGTAAGGTTTGGTGAAAATGTGACGCCATCGTAAAACTAATGATTCTTATTAACCCTCCTAAGATCAGAATATCAGATCATGGATGATTATTTTAGAAGCAATGAATAATTATAGAGAGCACTAAAAAAGGGTCATGCTAGGGTGCCATCACGTGTGTGCTATTATGAGTGCACTCATGCTTCGCACAGGTAACACAGTTGGTAATCATCTGTGCGACATAAATGGTAATCATCTGTGCAAAGGGAGTATGTCATATTTTGAAGATAAAGATTTGAGGTCAAACTTTATCGATTTTGAGTGCAAAAAACCTAATCACTAACTCACTAATAGCAAGTAAAATCTTCTCATACTCTCAGACGCTACGATCCTCAAAGCTTGGAGTTACAAAACGTTAAAAACCTTAAAGTTTGTATTTTACAATAGAATACAAATACGAGCCGAATATTAGAATTTAATATATATATATTGAATCGAATACGAATAGTACTAATAATTATTTGAATAAAAACAAATATGAATATGAATAATGGTATTATTTTTCAAATACGAATAAAATTTCATAATAGTTGATTCGATTCATTCGTTTTTATAACCCTAGCACGAAATATACAAACGTTGTATAGATCAGAGTAATTCTTGTAACATAACTGTCATATTTTTTGATGATTAGTTATTGTCAACAATTTTCTTTTTCTATACCTTTAATGTACTGCGCATTATATATATAGTGAATTGATTTTTTTTTGCTTCACAAAGCAAGTAAATTTAAAGATTTTTTTTTTCAAATAATAAAAGATATTAGTGAAATAATTAATAATTAAAAAATGATCATCATAGTGTTAAGTGTTAACAAAGTAATGAAATTATTTTAATTAACAATAACTTTATTCTTAACTTGTTTATTAAAAAGAGTGAAAAATTTGTTTAGAAGTATATATACATTTACTCCGGACTCCGGAGTAGTTTGGTTGACGATACCATCAAGCTTCTTTGAAGTGGGACCGGACAATAATGTCTACCGAAAGATTGAAAGAAGTAAAGGACTACGTGAGGGTATTGATCTTCATGGTACAAGCCACCGGCACTCTGATAGCCGCCGTCGTCATGGCGGCGGGTTTCACCGGCGACCATAAAACGCCGCGGGCGACGACGACCCCCACCGCCGCCTTCTACGCATTCGCCGTCTCCGATGCACTGGCTTTCGCGTGTTCTCTCTCCGCTACCTTCGCTTACTCCTCTCTGGCGGCAAGCGGCGGATCGCCGTCCCCGCCGTTTTCGCTCGACGGCGGTGGTTGTAATAATGGATATTCCAATGGGACTCAACGCTTCGCGAGGAGCATGCTGGTTTCGGCTCTCTTTGCACTCGCGGTGGCTTTCGCCGCCGGTCTCTACTCCCTCCTGTTGGCCCACCCTGTCGCCGCCGCTGCTGTCGCGGTCATGTGAAGTAGAAATCTAAATGAAAATTAGAAATATTTACCGCACTAAAACTTAAATCATTTTCTTAAATATCACTTAAATTGTTTTATTTTCTAAATAACACTTAATAATGTCTAGACAGAGGAATAATGTCTAGTAATGGCGTACATTTAGTTGAATAATGAATAATGACTAAAAGTGTTATATTAGAAAAAAACACATATGATGTTATTTAGGGAAAATCATTATGTAAAAGTGTTATTTAAGTAAATTTCACATGCGAATTATTCCCCTCCCCAATAACGAGTATATACTTAAAATTTGTTTAAAATATATAAGAAATGTTTACTGCGATAAATAGATAATCGAAAATTCGATTAATATCCGCATTCGTATCTGTTTAAAATGCTTTGTGAGAATATTATAGATTATAATATAGATAATTTAAAATTCAATTAATATCCGCATTTGTACTACGTATTTGTTTAAAATGGTTAGTATCCGTTTTCGATTGGTAAGCGTATACGGATTTGGCAATCATACATCCTCCGTTTATAATCCGCTCCGCATATACATCTGTTTAAGTAACCATTTATTTGTGTATCTGATCCGTTATATAGTTTTTCCCGGTTTTTTATATTCTATTTTTATATTAACATTTTAAAATATAAAACATCTTTATTTCTAAAATATATGCGTAGACGCACAAATACTTGTGTATGTGTAGTATTTATAGTAATACTTTTACCATATGAAGTTTTTGTAGAATATTATAGATTATAAAAAATAAAGAAAATACTACTCCGTAACAAATTTTAATTGATTGAGCATATTAAGAATATTTATATATACTAATCTGTATATAGTATAATTTGACTTTGAAATTTGGAAACGGATACATCCGATATCCGACAGATACGTATATTGTTTTGATTTTTTACATCTGTCAAGATCTATATCCAAATTCAATATCCAACAAACATAAACGAATATAAATTTGGTAATAACACATCCAATCCGATTAACATCCGTTTATACACTCCTAAAAATGTTACTCCGTACTCTAAAGGAGTAAAGATATTATTGTATTCATGAATATGTAGGATGAGAAAGATGATGAAGTGTACTTCCACACTCTGAAATTAATCTTTCCGGTAACTTTTTATAATTAACTATTTTGATACGATATTTTTTTTATATCTCATGCTCAACACATGAATCATGTGTTTTCATTATTCATTTGATAAAATACGTTCATGTAGTCTCTTATTTCATAGATCATTTGATGTAATTTTAAATATGTAAGTTTCATCTTTCTATGAATGTTAGTTTTGAAATACAATAATACTAAAAAGTGTGAGTATTTACTAGTAATCATGCATTTGTGATTTAATTAAATTAAGAATTAATTATTTATTAAAGGTTATGTAAAAAATAAACTTTAAAAAGTCATCCATACAAAAAATAAGTCTAGGATGTTGAGTATAAAATAAACGTGATATCTTAACTTATTAGACGTGCTAATAGATCATTTTTAATAGGCCAAATGCATATTTTCCAAACCATAGGGGCGTTGCTTCTCATTTCTTATTTTTCATTATTTTTTTATTTCCCCCCTTTTCCCTTTATTTGTTTCTTTTATTAATCAAGATTTTTAAATTTATTGTAAAATTGTGTTTATAATGTTCTTAAAATTTAAAATTCCTTTCCTTTGAAAAAAAATATATACTGCATCTGCACGTCTAAAAATATTTTTGTTTTCCAAAATAAAAAAGTATTTTTTTGAGAACTTCAAAAAATGAGGAATAAAATAAGAAATAAAATAAAATAAAAAATAAAAAATAAAAATGAATATCCTTTTTGGACATCCCAATTCTCTGGACTTTTTAGGCGTTTTGAGAATTCTTTTTTGTACAAGACTCTTTTTTGCATGCTTCGATTTTTTAATTTCATTTTTCCATAATTTTATTTTTAATTATTGTCTAGATCTTATTTTTGAACTTGCCAAAAAAATTATTTCAGAAAATAAAACGTGAGAATCTTTAATTTTTCTATAGATGAAGTATATGTTAAATTTTTTATTTCAAACGCAAAGAGTTTTTAATTTTTAAAAACATTATAAAAGATTTAAAAAATTTAAAACACTTTTTTAGGAATACAAAAGAAAGAGATATAAATAATTAAAAAAGGAAAAAAACCAAATAATAAAAAAAACAAGAAATCAGTTGGAGCACATATTATGCTCTAGAAAATAGATACCAATGCCCCTCTTCGCCGGAAAATGTTTGGAAAATGGTCAGAGGGTGTGTGAGTGCAACATTTTGAAACCACGAGTATTTTAAAAATAATTTTTGAAAAGAGATAGCATATTGGTGTCAATTTTTCAAACTACAGTGATCATTGGAGCTATTTGGCCTTTTTAGCATAAATAATTATGTATGAATGACCTAAAGTCACATATTTTACCGGAACTAAAAATATATTATCCTTAAATTAATACTCCATCCGTCCAAATAAATTACTCCATTCGTCTCAATTTAATTTGAATGTTTCGGTTTATGATGTTTGATTGAATTTATTTTCAAATCATTTTATATGAAAAATGGTGTAGAATTAAATAACAAAAATTACATAATAAAATATTACATTAAAAGATCTACAGAACTAATAGTGACATAACTATTTTATTTTATTAAATGAGCATCGAAAAAAGAAAAAGAAAAAGAATAAAGTTTGACGCTATAAATATTAAACAGATAATTTAATTTGGGAGGGAGGAGTATAATTTTAGAATTACGAGACAAATTTATGTATATGTGAAATCATTTTATTTAATGAATTATATAAAAAAAAATTAAATTTAGATATTAAAAATTACTTCAAAATTTATATTATCACATAATCATTCAAAACCTACTTCGGTAATGAACAAAATTTATCACGTAAATTAAAGTCTAAAACTATAAAATTCCAAAGTATTTCGTCCTTAGAGCATCTCCAAGCATGCTTGTTATATAAATTTACTATTTTTACATTATAGCAAGTGAATAGTGATATAACAAGTATTTTTTTGCTTCATTCTCCAACCATAATTTGTTATTTTATTTTTTAAGTATTGACTTACTAAAGTTTGAAGGGTTTATCATATTTAACAAGCCAAAATCATTTTTTAGCAAACTTGCTAAAAGCACACCTCTTGAAGAATCACAAAAGTGTCTAGCTAGTTATATTATAACTTTTACCCATTTATAAAATGCTCTCACCGGTAGTGTTCGCCTTCTAGACTCAGTCACCATGGCCACGGCCGTTCACCTGCGTCGACTTGGCGCGATCACCGCCCTTTCTGCCGCCGGAGCTTACACTCTCATCCGCGACCCCTCTTTATCCTCCAACGACCCCGGCGGCAACTCTGCTTTCGATACCGTGCAGAGGAGGATCACCGATCCTCTCACAGTGTTGCCGCGCCGAGCAGATCAGGAGGCAGCCTTGATCGGCACCAGCCCCTCCAATCCTCTAGATATTCTCGTAGTTGGCGGTGGCGCCACGGGAAGCGGCGTCGCTCTGGATGCTACCACCCGCGGTCTCCGAGTCGGCCTTGTTGAGCGCGAGGACTTCGCTTCTGGAACCTCCTCCAGGTCCACTAAACTAATTCACGGAGGTTAGTGTCTCGGTATACATTTTAACACACAATGATCAAGTATATTCAAGCGATGTCTTTGATGAAAGCGGGAGGACGAACATGGAGAGGTTGTGAATTGTTAATTTTGAATGATTCGATGCGTGAAATGGGTATTTTGATGATATATTTGATAAAATACAATACAAATCAATGAATTGCTTTGTATCTTTTCGGGTCCTCTTTAATTTTGTACCTCAATTTCATGTTGATCTTGATTTTGTAATTTTTTTGTGCGCATCTCTATCAATTTATTACTCCGTATGTAATATACTATACTGAATCACTTACCAGTTGAAATAATCCATTTTGAGTTTTCATTAAGAAATCAGAAGAGTTTCTCTTAATCTTCTTAGTTCTCTGTGTTGACTATATGTTGTCTCAACATTAGACATTTGGTTCAGGAGTTCGTTATTTGGAGAAAGCTGTTTTTAACTTGGACTATGGGCAGCTGAAACTTGTTTTTCATGCCCTCGAGGAACGTAAACAGGTTATTGAAAATGCACCACACCTCTGTCATGCCCTGCCTTGCATGACACCATGTTTTGATTGGTTTGAGGCGATCTACTACTGGGCGGGCTTGAAAATGTATGATCTGGTCGCAGGACGGCGCTTGCTGCACTTATCCAGATATTATTCAGCAAAAGAGTCTCTTGAGTTATTCCCGACACTTGCAAGACATGTCAAGGATAGAACTCTAAAGGGAACAGTGGTCTATTATGATGGACAGATGAACGACTCAAGGCTGAATGTTTCAATAGCATTGTCTGCTGCTTTAGCTGGTGCTTCTGTTCTTAACCATGCTGAAGTAGTATCCCTTCTTAGAGACGAGGATAGTGGGAGGATCACTGGTGCACGTATTCGGGACAATCTATCAGGTACATTAAGTTTCATGTTTTTTTTATCCTTGAGTAATTATGAACTTTGGCCTGTCTTTATCCATGAGGATAGTGGGAGGATCACTGGTGCCCGAGCATTTTTTTTGTTGACAACTATTCCTTGTGGCTACGACTTGTTTTGTGTGTGTACAGCGTCTAGGAGTGATCATATCATCAAATGGAATGTTGTAGAGGAGCATTGGATATGTATTTCTGAATTTTTACCGCCATAATAACTATTAACAACAATAATAGACCTAGTATAATCCCAACTTTGTTGGGGTCTAAGGGTCAAGATGTATGCAACATTGCAACCTTACCCCTGTAAAGAATAGAGAGGTCGTTTTCATTCGGTCCTTGATGTATTTATGTATTTAATCCCCAAAGCTTCATAGAAAGCAAGAAGCTAAGGAAGTTTAATTTTCCATTTTGATTTAGTCTATCATTTACCCAAAGCTAGAACATTGTCGAAATTGAGCCTTTTAGTAAACACTGAATTGTGAACCATAACCACTATCATGATTTATTAAATAGTATATTTCTATTTTAAGAACTATTTTTGCTAGCTTATTTTCCTTTCTTGCTTGTTTGAGTCTTACTTTATGTTAAAGTGCACAGGGAAGGAGTTTGACACATATGCAAAAGTAATAGTAAATGCGGCCGGTCCATTCTGTGATTTTGTAAGAAAAATGGCGGACTCCAATGCAAAACCTATGATATGTCCTAGTAGTGGTGTTCATATTGTGCTTCCTGATTACTATTCTCCGGAGGGAATGGGTTTGATTGTTCCCAAAACAAAAGATGGTCGTGTTGTATTTATGCTTCCTTGGTTGGGGAGAACAGTTGCTGGCACCACTGATTCAAACACCAGTATTACAATGTTGCCAGAGCCTCACGAAGATGAGATTGAATTCATATTGGATGCCATTTCTGATTATCTTAATGTTAAGGTATATCAGACTTTTGCTTCAGAATCTTTCTATGTCGCATGCTATCCATTTCTTTTTCATGAATTTGACCTAAAAGCGTAATACGGAGTATTTCAATCCTACATGTGGAACTTATTATATTTTCATTTATAATTTATAATTATTTACTATAATCAACAGCATCTAGATATCAACTAAACAGCAGTGAACGCATCTTGAATCTTGATGATCTTGAATTATGATTATTGAATGTACAATCGAGCTTTTTATAAGGAATCATAAAATACTCTTTCTTCTTTACCTTAGCTCTTTTGCTATGTTTTTTCACATTTTCTTCTTTTTTTCTTGTCTTTTTTCTTTTCTCTTTTCCTATTTGATAACACACTTCATTTTATGCTAGTTTTTTTAGTGTAGATATGAAATAGATAACAGAGATGTGAGAGTGAGAAAGAGAGAGAGAGAGAGATAAGAGAGAAATAGGGTGGATTTCATGTGTTGTTTTGTAGACCTTGAGAACAAGCTCATTCCTCTTCTATTTCTTCCAATAGAACAATAAAGTGGTAGGGCCCACCATTTTTATTTCTTTCTCTCCATTTCTCTTGTCATCAAACCAGAAAGTGTTCTCATTTCTCTTCTCTCTCTCTCTATTTTCTTTCTCTCACACTCACTTCTCTTTCTTATTCCACCCCAATCAAGCATAGTTGTTAATGTGATGGTTTAAGTGTTTCCTCGTTCATTTAGTTTGCACATGGCATTGTCTTTTTTTTTTGAGGATTTTTATCTCGACATTTAGGTGCGGCGGACAGATGTTCTCTCTGCATGGAGTGGTATCCGTCCTTTAGCTGTAGATCCTAATACCAAGGATACAGCAAGCATATCCAGAGACCATGTTGTCACTGAAGACTTCCCTGGTTTAGTAACCATCACTGGTGGAAAGTGGACAACATATAGAAGGTAAATGGAATTCAGTACAATCCTATTATCACATAAGCTTAGTAAACACATGTCTATATGCATTACCTATCTAACTATCTTAGAGAATATTGGTTTTATTCTTTGACAATAATTTATGAACAAGTTTTTTCTTGCTTGATCATGTCCAATAGTATATTGTGTTTTACTTCATTTTTTGAATTATTCATTTATGAGACATAATAAAAGAGGGTAAGCTTGGAGGATCATAACATTTTCAATAAGTCTATAAAAATTAACTGTACTTTGTATGTGTAGTTTGGTCAATTGTGTCTCATCTTCACCACCCAAAGCCCAACACATTTGAGATCATACTGGATTTGTTGCTGGTGTGTCTCATAATAAGGTCCATAGGGGTGTTATTTTTATCCTGTGTTAAGTCTTTTTTTAACATGTTTTTACCTGATCAATTCCAGCATGGCAGAAGATGCAGTTGATGCTGCTATAAAGTCTGGGAAGTTGGCTGCAAGCAGTAAATGCTTAACATACAAGCTACAACTGATAGGTTCTGATGGATGGGATCCAGCATCTTTTACAATCCTTGCCCAACAATATGTGCGCATGAAACGGTCACATGGTGGGAAGGTTGTTCCAGGTGTGATGGACACGTCTGCAGCCAAACATCTCTCACATGCATATGGTTCTCTTGCCCAAAGAGTGGCCGCCATAGCTCAGGTGTTATTTCTTTTTAATTTTATTTCTGTCTGAAGTTTGCTTTTTTTTCTCTTTCCAACTAAGGTTCTCTCACAGTACATTGATACAAAAGCTAGTTTTGAGACGGGCGTATTACTAAAAAAATTACAGTGGTGTCTAAAAAGAACAGCCTTTTGAAAGCATTGTTTTCAAGGCTCAACCTATAAAAAGTATTAGTCCCTACATCCCAAAAAATGCCATGTTTCGTGAAGGTACACCTTTTAAATTTTTGGAAGGTACAACTATAGTAAATCATCTACCATAGTCTAGTAGAAGTACTAATGCTCTAGTGAGGAGGTGCGAGAGGCTCTCGTGATTAGACAAGACTAACACATCCAGAAGCTAATCGAGGATATGATCTTAGATAGGAGCGTATGGAGGTTGAGGGTTAGGGTGCTAGGGTAGGCCTTGGGGTGTGGTCATAACTTGTGTATGACTTGTTGCTTGTTCCTTTATTGTTTGAACTTTTCTTTCTCCCTTTCATATTTTGCTTGTTTCTGCTTTCCTGGTTCATTTGTGTGTTGAGGTTGAATCTCTAGTAAACAATCTCTCTACTCTCTAGTTAGAGGTAAGGTTTATGTACACTCACCTTCCTTAGACCCCACTATGTGGGATTTTACTTGGTTTGTTGTTGTTGTTGTACATTAAGTTCAACCAAAAATAGCTTCGTGTTGAAAATCACACCTTTTTCTGGGACAAAAAACAGGTTTTGAAACTGGATTCTCTGCCTGTCTTTCTTTATGGATGGAATATTACATTTTAGCTCATGAGACTCAAAAAGCTTTGGTCTTTATTTTGCATGCCTTCTTGCCACATGAGAGCCTTTTATATTTTACACTAATACTTTATGCTCAATGTTAACTACTTAACTCTACATACATAAGCGGGCGTATGTGCGTGTTCATATTTTGAAGGCAAAAGGTCTCACCGAATTGTCGGGTAATTTCACTCTTGACTCCATTTTCCTTGCATTGCAGAATGAGAATTTGGGTAAGCGGCTTGCACACGGGTACCCTTTCTTAGAAGCTGAGGTTGCATATTGTGCACGCCATGAATACTGTGAATCTGCAGTGGATTTCATTGCCAGACGGTGTCGTCTTGCTTTCCTTGACACCGATGCCGCAAGCCGAGCTCTTCCACGCATTGTAGAGATATTGGCAGGCGAGCACAAGTGGGACAAGTCCCGCAAGGAACAAGAGTTTCAAAAGGGAAAGTCGTTTCTGGAGACGTTCAAATCTTCGAATAATGCCCAGTTCCATGATGGAAAGCACTCAAGATAATAATAAGAGTATGTAATGTACTTACTGAAACTACGCTTGCTCTTTTCGGTGTGGGAATAAAGTCATGTGGTCCCCGGTTAAACTCCCGTATGACTTTAGTTCCACATATAGTAACGCTGTGGACACATCAAAGTGTGTCCACATGAACTTAGACTTCTTGCAAATATTCGGCTAGATAAGTTATACAATGAAAAGTTAAAACGACACAATATGGTTACTGAAGTATATAACCAAAACCTCAGAGTCACAATAATGCTTTTGTCATATAGGATTTGTACCATTCTTTGAAATACTTTTTGGCCAAATAAAGCTTCAAGCAGTTGAAGAAGTCTGTCACAATGAATTCAGTCACATATGCTTTACATCTTTTTGCTTTTGAAGCATCTTCTAGTCCTATATCCTGAGGAATGCAGTTTTTTTATTTACAGATTTTTTTGTTGGTTTTGTTTTGGACAATGTTGTGCATGTTTTGTTCAAAGAAGAGGACTTCAAAGTATTTTTTTGACCTAAATGCCTAAGGACTTGAAAAAATTTGTCTAACCTAATTGGATCTGATTTGATTTTTTTAAAGTCTGGTGTCAGATTCTAATATGAATAAGTAATACCCTGTAAGAATAAACTGAAGAAAATAAGCTTTAAGTGGCGCCATGGAATATACATGGTTAGTTTAAATATAGAGATTTTAAATATAATGTGAATTGAGATGAGATAATGATGCATTAAAAAGGGGAACTTTTGTTATGGATTGGATATTTTTTAAAAAAAGAAAAGCACTCGTTATTGCTCCATCAAAGAACAAATAAAGTCCGGAGGTGTATTCCATTAGGTGAGATCGACTACATAGGTCAAATAACGATATTATCTTCTCATGTACTGCAGTGAGATCATTCATGCAAAGGTCCTTGACCACTTGGTTTCAAGCCTTCTTAGGTCTACTGCTTTTTTTAGCCACACGTCTATTCGGCATTTGATTGACCCTTCCCATGTACCATAATGAGCAATAAAATTATATTCCCTCTGTCGAATGATTATTTCCGTTCTTATTTGGGATGTCTCAAAACTTTTTCTTCTTTTGTGTTTAAGAAAACAAATATGTGTTTCATATCATTTTTCTTTCTTCTACACAAATCACAAGCACACATTTCATTTTATTAAAAATTGTGTCAAGTCAAACATGTAAGATAATTATGGGACGAAGGGAGTATTCTTTTGTAAAAAAATTCACCTAAATGGGAGTAAAACATAGAGAAAATTAAACCATGAACTTTATGTTTATAACCCAAAATAAAAATTTACATTGTGATAATATTACACTATATATTGACATTTCATAGTATTTGTTGGTGTCATATGTTAACATTGCTGGCATTGTAAGTTCTATTTAGAAAATAAAACAAGAAGATTCTATTTGTGTTTTTTAATATAGGTTGTCTTATAGGTAATTTTCTTTCATAAAGAAAGATTTACTCCTGTATTATTTCTTTTTTTTTATTATACACAAATCACAAGTTCACACTATTAATAATCGTGTTAACCTCATAATTATGGAAGATATATAGTACGGAGTAATTGTTAATCCTTCCCAATTTAAATTGCTTGTTTCAGTTTATGATGTTTAACTGAAATTATTTTCAAATCATCTTATATGAAAATGGTGTAGAATTAAAAATATAAACTACATATTAAAAAGATACATCAAAAGATCTATAAAACTAGTGCTGATGTGATTATACGGAGTATCATTTTATCAAATGATTAACAAAAATAGAGAAAAATAATTGTATTTTAACCATATGGATACTAAGCAACAGATTTACTTTAGGACGCTGGGAATAACATTTTGTGTGAAGTAGAGCTGACCTAATGAACTTGGCCAAGCTCATTTGCGGGGGAAAGTTATAGCAAAATCATCTTATTCGCAAGTAGCTATTTCTTGATAAATCCATCCAATGTCTTTATGTATATTATTTTACTCATGTCCCAAAATAAAAATTTCATTCATCATTCGTAGGATCTTTATATCTTTTGCTTATGTTTTTTCGATGATCGGCTAATAAAATATTTGCGTTGTTTTGTAAAAAAAAAAATTTACTCCGTATTTAATTTTTTTTACATTGTTTTTTCATGAGTTGAAAGGAAATTACTCCAACTAAAAATCATAAAATAAAATAAAAACTTAATTTAGGGATAGATAGAGTATGCAATTATTCTTTTTTTTTAAATACCACCATAAATATTGGGATATTACCTAATGCTATACACAGTACATAAATAATATAATCCACAAAACCATGGTGTATACGAAAACACTTTTTACCCACAGTTTTTACCGAAAATAAAAATATACAAAGACGATTTTTACAAGCCCCTGGACCAACACTGTTTTTTGCCAATGTAGTAAATACTTCACGAAGGAAATTTACACACAAACTATACTATTCTAAAAACTAAAACACAAAAGAACATAGGGGAAAAGTGAAAATTTGATGCTACATGGAATTTCACTCTTACTCTATTACTTACTGTGCAGTAGTATTTTACTTGCTGTAACTGACAGACGAATTTTCTCGTCGGGTTGGGAATTCTAGACGCGTAATATCTCATTTAGGTGAGCCTCTGCATCACCTGAAATTTCTCTTCCAGGAACCTCTACCTTTAGAAGACTTGAATACCTACAAAAGTTTTGGAAAAAGTGTTTCGATTTCTTTTTACGAGACTCTTCTGCATGTATGTACTTACATTTATAGGTATGTGCGTACTGCCGTACTAACATCCTCCCTCCATTCCGTATTAACTGTCCATTATGACTTTTTAGATACGTTGAGAACTGAATGAATCTAGACATAAAGTATGTCTACATTCATTTGTGTTTTAAAGTATCTAGAAAGTTAATATGGAATGGAGTACATATGTAGGTGCATACACACATATGTAGATAGGGATGAATGTATGTATGTATGTATTTATGTATGCATGCATGTATCCATCATATAACTCACTCTGTAGCTGTAAACAGGTCAGCATGCTCATTTATGAATGCAAGCAGAGCCTGAAGAAGAAAAGAGTTAAATTGCATGGGAAAATTAAAAATATTATTGTAATTGGGAATTTGCAACCAGAGAAGATTGATGATCACCTCAAATGGCATGTTTAGCAATTCATAATATGTTCTGACGCGATCTAATTTCAACTGCACAGCTTCGCTGTCTATTGAGGGGATTGCAGCAAGCGCCTGATTAATTTTAATTTTAGAAAAAAAACTCTTAGCCAAGAAGTAAACAAGGGGAAGAGAAGGAAAAGGAAAAAAGCCAACCTGTTCGAGTGCTATTGAGTTGCGCCGTATCTGATGAACTCCAAATAGATTGATAGATTTTATATCAGTCAAAGCCTGTAAGTCAACCAGTAAAAGTATCGCTACTCATCAGCAAGGAGGAATGAATATGAGTACGTGAAAACAAAAGGAAAAAAAAGGAGAAAAAATGGTGCAAATGAAAGTTTAAGATGAAGACCTTTATGGAAGCATCTGCTGCAACACTGCAAATTCCACCAAAAACATACTTCCTCTTCAATCCGTTGATGAAAGGTGACATTTGCTCATCACGACGTGTTATCTGTGGTAATAATATCAAGCATTTTACAAAGGGAATAGTGGCAGCAAATATTAACTTCTAGTCTAGAAAAAAAATTGGATGGGAATGAACTGGTAAATTTAAAGCTATCTGGTGAATGATTTTTTTAAGGGAAGACAACAGTTTAAATTATAATCAATAAAACAAAATAGATTCTTGTAAAACAAGCAAGGGGGAGGGGGTAACTATCTGGTGAAGGATTGGAGAGAACTTTGCTAACCAAGGATGTTAATGAAATGACATAATCATCAGGCTCTTCCGCATCTTGGTCATCCAGATAATCTTTACTTGTCATTTCCTGTATACAATATTAATAAAAAAAAAACGGATAGGGTGGAAATATAAATACAGAACCAAATGAAAAATAAGAAATAGGATCTGGAAGTGCCACAAACTTGCATGTGGAAAATAGTCTCCAGCTGCATTTCTATACGCAGAACCTTGAGGCAATCTACTGATAACTTTTTATATTCTTCAGCAAATGCTGCCAAATCCTTAGGAAGGGAACTTGTTGTCCTAGAATGCTTGTGAGTCTTCATATTCCCATCCTCCTTTCCTTGATTGGTAGCTCGACCACTTGTTTCTGAAAGCCTAGTAAATTAACAAGAAATTTACTTGGTCTAGAAGTATAAATTACATTGAAATTTTAAACATTTAGATAGGATCTTGCCCCCCATGAAGTAACAAGTGTTATATAACTCAAAGTTAAGACTGTCAACTTTTTTGCTGATTCCTACAGTATTAGTAAGAATAGTAATACCTATAGGTTGTACCTCCAAATCCTTTATTCTGAAACAGTAAGAATATTAATGCTCATTTTACATATCTATCATAGTGCTTCCTGATGATGCCTATTATTTGTCTAAAATGATCATTTTTATTTAAAAAATCATCCACCAAAAGACCTATACAAATCGTCCTCACTACCTCAATCCCAACTACGTTGGTGTGGTGACATGAAATTTATATTGTAAATTAATTGTCAAACACTCGTGAACACTACATGACTACAAATGTATCCCAAAAAAGTGGCATAGTTTTACTGCTCCTCATGTTGCATTCTTCTTATGAGGGAATGATAAGATGAAATTTCAGTAGTCATCAACTATGTTGCATAGATTCTTCAAATATGTGCCGCTTCATGTCCCCGTTTGGATACATGGAGACGTCCCACCACACAAACCCTTAGTAAAATTTGGAAAAGTTGGCATTTCCCCATTCCCAACCCCGTCCCCGTCTCCATGCAACTTAGGTCATCATTTTAGGTTTTTTCACTTGCATGAAAATATCATGAGATTGCAACAAGTTGATATTGTTGCTATAACCATGTCTCTTTAGCCATAACAATATTGATATTGTAAAATCAGCAAAACATGATCATGCTAAGTCGACAAGAATATGATACTTATTCAAAACAATGGAATGGTTAAATGAATGTATTTCCCTTTCCTGCCAATGAATAATCGGATAATGTACTCCGTAACTAAAAATAAATGCATGGGCATAAACTATAAAACAATATTTCAACTAGTAAAAAATGTAATGGCTAATGGGGTTTAAGAACTTGCCTTCCTATTGAATCTGCAACAAATTCCAATGAATCACTCAAGGATGCCAGCAGAACAAGCTTGTTATCATCACGGATCAAGTTCTCCTGGAAATTATGTAATCGATAACTGAATTTCATGCAAAAC